AATAATGTTGTATTTATTGGTTCATTGACAACATCTCCTACTGTAGGTTCTACAGTAAGTATTCCAATTAAATTTTGAGAGAATGATTGGTTAAAAGAGTTCAATGGAACATTAGAACTTAATATCCATGTGAACTTTGGACCAAGTACATCATAATTAAGAGCATATTGTAAAATTAAGGATGCATAATATGATTCAGCCCATAATATTACAATTCGAGTTGAGCTAGTGATTAAAGTGCTGTTCAGATCACCTTGAATACTAAGTGTCATAGTATCAAATAATACGGTTTGTAGAACTATCACACTATTATTACTAAGCGTCTCATTTAGTGCTTGCCCACCACTTAAACCATATTTATCATTTTGATAGATAATTGTGCATGATGTCCAATTAAATCGTATGAACAATTGTGCAATCGCTATTGCAGCTACTTTATCCGAAGGAACTGTCCGATGAAAGACAGGATATGCATTTCGATCAGATAAATCAGGATCGGTTGCTGCGTATGATATTACAGGAATGCCAACTGTTTCTGCAAAATCAGCAATAAGGATTGCTTCTCTTGACAATGCAGGACCCACAATGCCTATGATATTAGAAGTAGACATTGCAAAGCACGTACTTCGAAGAGCACTTATCACATTGTCATCAGTTTGTGCAGTTTGCCATCCAATAAATTGGCCTCCGATTTTTATGTTATATGTTTGGGAAAGCAATACTGCTGCTTTAAACATAGCGCGAGAATGAATAGACAGCGTTGTAGATGCAGATGTGTTTGACGTGTCATGAAAAAGACCTAATAATTGCATATTCGAAATATTTGAGGGCGGCCAAGTTGCTTTGGTATACTGTATATTAAATTGCTTGAATATGAACAGTAACAACAACCATCGGAAGCTCCATAAATGCGACATCTTTATTAGATGTCAATTCGAATATGCTGATTACACTGAAAATGAAAAAGAAAGAAAACAGTGATTCTTCAGGAAATTTAGCACAATTGCATCAAGTTTATCGAAACCATTTCAACTTTCGAAACTAGTAGAATTTGATGGTCTAGATCCAAAAATACCCTTAAAGATCTCGATAAAAATTGACTTAGTCGGGCATCTCTCTTATGGTAAAAAAAGTCACTAAAGGAACTTTCCACATGGAAGAATATTCCTTCTATTAACTAGTATCGACTTTAAAAATTTCAGCATTCCATTGTTTTTAAAATTATGAAAAGCTAAAAATTGTGTTTAAAGCTGAGAAGACTATTCAAGCCATTAGTCAGAAACCATCATTGAAACCTATTTCTGAACTCAAAACATCAAATTCTACTAGTTCAAAAAGTAAAATTGATTTGGATGAAGCTGATAGAAATTCTAGCACATTTTCGAAAGAATTATTTACTACACAAAACTTGAAATAGTTTATCAAGCTAACAAATAGACGTTTTAAACGAAGTAAACAATCCTGACAACTTCAATGATAATTGAAACTGAGAGTAAGAATTAAATGAAAAGAATATCGAAGTAAGACACATAATAATAAATTTGAGATAATATTTCAATGGAAGTTCTTTTCTAGGCATATCGGCTTGTCCACGTAATACGACACTTCGCTGATCAAAATTCAAAACATTTTTTTTTTGAGTTGGATAAATCTGAATAAGTTACTAGAGGCGGATTTTAACGCTGATTATGAATTTGACATTTATTTTGTAAAAAAATTAGATTTTGGTATTGAAAACTGGGTTTTAAACTTTTCAAAAATTGTATTTTGGATTTTATAACCAAGAATTTTTTTCCAAAAAACACAGAGGAACATTCTCGTTCGATGCAGAATTTCATTCTGTACAAAATGGCCTACTTATCTTTGACTTTCGTGGCTAAGGACAATTTATAGACTCTTATAAAGTTTCCAACTTACTGCGTCTCTTCTGAGTTTCCATGTCGATGTATCGATCTCGTTCTTGCGTAGAACGATTAGTTATACAGAAAAGACTGACATTTATAAAAGTCAAATCGTTCTGACCATGTTAAGTGCCTCAAAATTGGTCGACAAAAACTGTGCCACAGGGTTACGAAAAATGTCACAGCATTACGTTTATTTTTTGCAGATTTTATATAAGCAAAAATAGTTTAAAGAAAATGTTTTTTAGCGTTTAAGAGTCCGTTCAAACTCTAGAAAACTGGCTCCAGAAGTGTTTCATTTGGAGAAATATTTTCACAAGAAATTGCAGTTTTATTAGCGGCTCTGAAGAAAAAGGGCCTTTTTGTGTCACAGCGTTACACGACCAAAAACTCTTTCTCGAAGCTTGTGACTTTTACCGAAAAAAAGGCGTTTTATAGCATAAATAGAGTTTCACAAGCTGCGTCAAATGCCGTTTGGACGAACTTTCTAGCTCTCATAGTTTCAGAGATAATGCAAAAAAAAAAGTGTATCAAAAACGTCACAGCGTTACGTTTTGGACAAGCCGATATAATTAAAGAAAGTACATGGAATGAAAAGAAGAAATTCACAGAAATACACGACGTGTTTGTATGTGACCATTAATGAAAATTTTAGATAGCTTTATTTTTGTATAGTCTCAAAAGGTGTTCGAAAATCATCAAGAGAAATACACTTATATTGGAAGATGGCAATGTATACTTAGTAGAGAAAGGTCGAAACTGAAAATTTCACGTAGAGAAAAAAAAAGGTTGCGTTGGAGAGCCTATTATAACCATTCAAAACATCTCAGGGAAGACTGACCAATGAATATAGGAAACTGAGATCAACTCTTTGGAATAATATTTTACGATGAATTTAGGACTTGGCGATGGACTAACTCGTTTTTCATTGGTGTAAATCCGTCAGGGGCAACTTAGCACATTTATTTTATCATGCCTGTCTATTTTCCCAAATATTTCGATTCAATCATCATCCAACCAAGAAGACGTTTTCGGTATCTGCTTATTAGTGTACTGTTATCCATGAAATATCGCTAGAGACAGACTTCAAAAATGTGATAGTGACGTTGAAACAAATACTCAGATCTGTTTGCATACTGAAGATGACTCGAATAACTACATCGGTCGACTTCGATTTTCGAACATCGTCAACTTTTTTGTTGTTATTAGCTTTTTTAGTATACTCTTTTCAGCTAACAAGTATTGGAAGACAAAGATTTTTACTTAATGTGATCAGGAATAGGAAGAATATTATAAAACTGAAAAATCGATTGGATGAGCTATGAGAGAGAGAGAGAGAGAGGGGAAAGGTCGCCCTGACTAGTACATCCGTTTAGACCTGCAGATGATTCGATAGCTATTTAATGGTAAGAATGGATGAGATAGTTACAAGAGGTGTGCAAAACTATTCAAAAGAGGAAAAAGTCGAGAAATTACTTTCCAACAATCCTTTGATTATTCTTTTTAATTTATGGACGTAATAATCCGATAATTGATAGAATTATTCACTCATATGCTTCTATTTTTCATTCAGTTCTTTCTAAATTTGTCTACTCCTATTAGCAGCTGTTACCCTGTAGCGTTTTTCTATTTCCTTTGAATATTGCTTTTCCTGCTCTAATTATGTTTTGTAATGTCTAACTTCTCTTTTTGTTTTCATTTCTAATTATAATTGCTTCACGGTATGATTCTAAACACAACATAAAAAAATTGTTTTTACCACTCAGAAGTTTGCAAGTAGCTTGTGTCGTTTGTCAAAACTTATGATCGTTATTCGAATGCTTCTCACGAATACACATCTTCACCGTGATATAACTTGTTTTTTTCTCGCATAGATGCGTTTTTAATTATCTAGGCAAATTTTTTCTTCATTATGAAGTAATTGCCGTTACTCAATTAAATGTATGTGCATTGATGCATGAAGCCTCTTGATAAAAATAAGTCATATTTTAATTTCAAGCATGTCAATTCACACCTATTTGTGAAGCAGAAATATGAAATTACAGTAGTGCTTCAATATAGCTACGCATGAGAAGTGAATCATAGTGTGTTGGTGTATGAAAATCAATCGAAAGCAGATCGATCTATAGTTCTAGAATACAAATCAATCTGTTACTCGCAACTCTTGCTTTTCAGCAATCGATTACTTCTCGTAGTACTTTGTAATTAGGTGAATGTGTTTAATAAAAGAATAATAAAGAAATGCAGAGTTAAGTTCGCAGACATATTTCATGTTGTTTTGTTAAAACATAAACACTCATCAGGGCTCTGCGTAACATATGAAAGTACAAAACACAAAAAATACAAAAACAGATCAAAGCAAATTTTGAAAAATGGGGATTATCACAATAGCAGCGGCAGAAACAAAATGCTGGAACAAAACTGATTTTTAAGTTAAAAAGGAAATGAGAGTTCAAGATTTAAGGAAAGTCATTCTCGACTAAAAAAGAATTATGTGCATTGTCAGTTGATCGACAGCAGATGTTACCACAAATTTACATTAGTTTGGATATGATCCACTCTTCGTGAGTATCTTATAAGGAAGAACTTAGCCAATATGTTGATCGATTTTAAATTAGACATGCTGTTTATTGAGCGTTCATAACATGTATATTAACCGATCATTGAGGTAGATCAAAAATTATATTATACATTTAAGATTAATGGTGCTGTGAATAAACTGAATCAATATATGCATTGATATCAAAAATAATTGTACTTTTAATCATATCGTAGATGAATAATTTTATTGTTCAATATATCATTAACGTTGACTAACAATTAATAATCAACGATGTGTGCATATATTTTAACTTAATGTCTTATCATCGAACAAAATATAATGACTGTAAATAAAAAAATAGCAAAACAATATCAAAATGACTAAAAATCACTAGACGCATGTATACCCGTAAATAAGACTTCATTCCAACATTCATTCAATAAAACAATTGTGATTAAAAAAATAACAATTATAGTAAAAGTAAAGATGTAATCGATTTCATTGAATTAATTAACAATGAAGTTCAATTTTCTAATGCTCTCCAATAAAGTGTTATTTGAAATACACGTAATGGACATGCACAACGAAGCACTAACATACCTAATGATAGCACTAAATCTCGATAAATAGGAATAAATTTGATAGTGATTTGATAACCAATAATACCAAGTGAATACGCTTTAAGAAGCGTTTTAACCAAAGATAATATGATAATTATTCGATTGGCTACTTCTCAAAAATATATTGACCGATCCAGTTGTGCATAATATGCACTTATTAGTACAGCTGTATCCATGAACACAAGAACAATACTAATCTAATAAAATATTTGTTTTAAGTCATTCCATGAATATGACATCAAGTGTATACTACTCTTGTAGGTAAACCGATTTGTAAATGCAGGTAATCTTGTTGTATCTAGTATAACTGAAAACATAAATCATAGTAAATACGACATGCCGTACTGAAATGACAAAAGCATTAAAAACGAACCAATTTTAAGTTCAAAATAGCCGAATATATAATCGTTGAAGTAGAGTATTATTCTTATATAAAATACTTTAAATAAAACAGTTTTCGAATAGATTGGTTACATATTCTTTAATCTGGTATGTATTGACCGTCTTTGGAAATTATTCACATCACGTATGCCAAAAGCTAGTATGATTTCATTAATTAGAGATTTGCTGAAATATTTTTTTTTAAGAGCATGAAATTTTGCTGTAAATGCTTCCATTTTTGGGCAATATATGAAATGAACAAACTTTGGTTTCTACATGATCTATTGTCAATTTTCTCTTTTGAAGGAGTATTAATAATTTTTTTTGTAAAATTTATGATAATTGTTCATAGTTGAGGGTCACTCAAT